GCCAGACTTAACTCTTGAGAGGTGAAAAATGGTGACTCTTCATGCAATTATTAATCTGAATGAGCATGGGGAATGGAAACCTCAGCCTGTTCTAAGCTTTGTGGATTGGCTTTTGTCACAAGCCCTGCCACTTCCCAGTTCCTATGACTTTATATTTTAATCCTCAAAAAATTTGGATTGGTTCATCAATCCAAGGCGAAAGTGGTTGCCCTTTTTGCAGTCTTAATGCTGTATCAGTTTTTTTAAAAAGTACAACAAGACCAGCAGATGCCTCTCATGGTGCTGAAATTTACATGGCGTGTGTATAAGTTTACATATCTGGCCAACAGCAGCCCCAGGTCAGAGATGACTGGGAAACCATGTGGACGTTGTGCCATTTTGGACATCTGAAATTCCTTGATCAAAGCACTTTAGGAACATGTAAGCCTATGAAGTCCTGCTTGGTGATTCTACACAAGTGAAGCAGCGAAGAAAGAGACTCACTGCAGTCGCCCTTTGTTTGCTAAATCTGATGATATGGGCACTTTTGCTTCTTTTCTGCAATTTAATATTGCATTTCGTAAGAGTTTGTTTAAAGGAGATCATGGAAGAGATTTAGGTTTTATGAAAGAGACTGTCTAGATTGCCACAGTATGCAAAGAAAAGAACTTTATCTCCAGAGTGTCCCCACCACACTGTGGCATGTGATTGTTCCAGGTTTTTAAAGGGAAGTGCCAAAAAAGAGAAATATCTCACAATTTCCAGTAAATAGTTCTGGAGGTATTTCTCTAATTTAGCACTTCATTCTTGTATGCTTCCTATTCTAGTTGTTGCTGTTTTTTCAAAAAAAATTTTTACAGTAGCCTGTTTTAAGGTTTTGAATCCAGGATTGTCTGTCTCCTTGATCCTTGTAAACAAAGGCTGATGAAAAGGAGAAATATCTTTTGCAAACTGATAAAAGTGGCTGAATAACAGGGCTGGCACGAGTAATTTTGCTGCCTGAGGCAGAGGACAAGATGGTACTCTGTCTTCCATGTAACTGAAGCCAACGGAGAGGTAGGGCTTGCCCACATGTGAGTAATATGTTGCTGCAGAGACACTCATTTTACCATTGAATTTGCTTTTAGTGGTCCACACAATGTTCTCCAGTTACAAAGCCAATGTTTTCTGGTCATACCAATGGAAGCTTCAGTGTGTTGGATCAATCCTGCTGAAAATTCAAGTCCATGGCTCAAAACGAGTGGGACGGGGCTAGTGAGGGGAACGTCATGTGGATTAGGGCCAAGTACTTTGGGGCAAGGAGCTACAAATACTCATTAAATGTTCAGCACATTTAATGGACAAGCACATCATTGACTATTCATTTAATAGTCTAGCTGTAGAATAGCATCCTACCATACCACTGGGCAACAGGCTGGCTTAAGGAGCGACAGGAAGGCATACTCAGCTCCCTTCCCCAAACCTCCTTGCTGCTGCCAGCCTCCCAGTACCTGCCACCTAAGGCACCTTGTCTCATTCTGCCTAATGCCTAATGGCAGGGCTAGGCCTGCTGAACAGGCTTGGTAAAGAACTTTCCCTTCTGTGTAGAATCAACTAGGAATTTAAAGTAGAAAAAATCTTTTTTCAAAGACAAAGAACCTTACAGTTGATAAAGCAGAGGAAGAACGAACTCATCAGCAACTGATCATCTGGAAAAGTCCTAGCAAAAGAATGATGAGAATGGGTAGTTTTTGATTACTTCTGACATTTGAGCTGTCATAGGATTTTCCAGTTTTATATTAAACCATTCGAGGAAAGGAAACATTTCTTTGCTCTAGGATTCCCCCCACCCATTGATTTCCATATGCATTTGTCATGGACCCATAATGAGTAATTTGTGATTCCTTAATGCATAGCAACAGAGCTCATCTGTGGAGAGGAAAGGATTATTAGGCAATCTGGCACAAAGGAAGGACTGGTTTAAACGAGTTCAATTAATGCTGGTGTGATAGGGGACATCCGGCTGTGCTCTCAGCATAGCGGATGGTCATGGTGCTATCTGTTCCTCTATGAATCCAGCAGACTGTGGAGCTTGTTCCCCCCACCCCCCTTCATGGACTCCTGTTATTAACATATACAGTGGTACCTCGGGTTACATACGCTTCAGGTTACAGACTCTGCTAACCTGGAAATAGTACCTCGGGTTAAGAACTTTGCTTCAGGATGAGAAATCATGCTCTGGCGGCGTGGCAGCAGCGGGAGGCCCCATTAGCTAAAGTGGTGCTTCAGGTTAAGAACAGTTTCAGGTTAAGAACAGACCTCCAGAACGAATTAAGTTCTTAACCCAAGGTACCACTGTACTGCTATTTTTCTTTCCGGGATCTTAACATGTGGGTCACAACTCACCTACCAAGAAATATATTTTGCCCCTTCTGAACCCCTGCCTCAAAAAAAATTCTGGTGCTGCCACTGGCCATGTTTCTGTCATGAAACAAATTAGTCTTGTTGTGTGTAAACAGCATTTGAGGCCTCAAGAGGTCAGTAGCGGCCAGCTAAAGGACCCCTGACCATTAGGTCCAGTTGTGGCCAACTCTGGGGTTGCGGCGCTCATCTCGCTTTATTGGCCGAGGGAGCGTACAGCTTCTGGGTCATGTGGCCAGCATGACTAAGCCACTTCTGGCGAACCAGAGCAGCACACGGAAATGCTGTTTACCTTCCCGCCAGATTTATCTACTTATCTACTTGCGTTTTGACGTGCGACCTAGCAGTTCAAAAGCGGCCAGCTACCCAATTATTATAGAACATAAGTCGGCAAACTAAGGCCCGCGGGCCAGATCAGACCCAATGGCCATCTATATCTGGCCAGCAGACGGTCCGGGAATCACTGCATGGATCGCCAGCGTGCACGCTCTTTTCCTCTCCCTCCCCCTCACAAGGTGGCGGCAGCAGAGCCTCCTCCCTCCCTCCTCCTGGCTTCTCCCTGCCCTGCCTAGAGGAGGAAGGGGGCTGGGCTTTGTTGCTGCCAGCCCCTCTCTGGAGCCCTTTAGCAAGCTGCTCATCGTCCCCACTGCCGCCGCCGCTAGCCCCTGTGGCTTGCAAGACACAGGAGCCACGGTTGGCTGAGCGCCCTTCTCAAGTGGCCGCCATTTAAAGCAGCCCCTCTTCAGAGCCATTTAACGCGCCGCTCATCGTCCCTCCACCACCGTTCTTTTTTTTCTTTTCAAAATATAGTCCGGCCCCCCACAAGGTGTAAGGGACTGTGGACTGGCCCCCTGCTGGAAAAGTTTGAGGACCCCTGTTATAGAATGCTCACATTCTACTTTGAAGGGAATTAATTTCTTCTGCACATGGTCTTATGCCCACATGAAGAAACCATGCTGGTTCTTTAACTCGCTTAATTTAGGTTACTTATTCAGTTACTAGACGACAGCTACTGTACAAATCTGTTTGCAGCAGCTCGTCACGGGAAGTGGGCTGGTAGATTTCCAAGGTAATGCTTTACATATAGGCCAAGTTCTCATATAAGGTTCTCATATTACTGTGATCTGTGTCAGTTCACCTGGAAGAATCACCTCCTCTGGTCTCTGGTTTGAGATCCAATTCTCACATTTAGAATCCCGCTCCATCCTCAAGAATGTGTTGAAAGAATGGGGGAAGGTACATCTGATGAGGAACATGCCATTGTGATTCAGGATGGTACACAGAGTGTTAAATCTTTTCAAGTACGTGCCATGGAGACCAGGCACTTACTGGGGTTCAAGGAGGCTATTAAGTGGCCCTGAAAGAGCCAGTGGCTCTAGCTTTATAAGGAGACCAATTAGGTTGGAGGTGGTGCATACTGTCTCTGGTCCTGCATCAGGTAAGAGTGCAACACCTGTCCACTCCGGACTTCCTTGCCAAATGGTTTACTATGAAGCTGGCTGTGGCTCTTAGAGATGCAAAATGGCCATTTGGAGAGCTAGAATGAGCAAATAGCTCCTGGGATTTAACTTGACGTTTCAGTTTTGTCCAGTGCTCACTTTATATTTAATTTTTGGCACTCTTGTTTCCCATATAGTAAGCCACAGAGAGAGCATCCCTATGGGCTTGTGTTGTCTTTCACAATTAAAACAGACGATTTGGCACTGACTTCAGTGGGATATGAGTTGCACTCAGATTTTCATTTACAGTGGGATAAGGTGGGGGTTGCCATCTGGTTCCCTTACCTGAAGAAAGGGTCTTCTGCTTCTAGTTGCTGCCTTGGAAGATGTATCTGAGTGAGCTGAGCCTCTTTTGCTTTCTGTCTTTCAGGGAAGGAACAGAAGGAAGCAAGCAGGAGGTTGGGTCCGATCCCCCTGCAAGGTAATGAAGGATGCTTTTATGCAAATCTCTCTTTCATTTCGGGGAGCTTTGCACAGTTGAAGTTCCTGGTGGATTATAGTCGTAATCTGTTTTAATGCAGCCATTTTTACTTTCTTTAGTCCCATGGTCTTAGTTAAAGATGGATGGGGCAATCCAAAATACACACAACTTTGTGGGAGGCTGAACTGGGTGGGGGTGTAACTTGAAAAAAGAGACATTGCACATGCTTTTGTAAACCAAGAAATCTTTAATAAAAATACTTTTAAAAAAAGAAAAGAACATCACTTCCCCCTCCGTCCACTAAATGTCCAGGTGAGCAAAAGTGGCCCCTGGCAGGATCCATCTTAGCAGCTACAAGAGGAAGGTGTTGGAACAAGTTGTTCCAGGGGCAGGGAGTGGAAGGAGCTAAGATCCACTGGTTTCACTGCTGTCACATGATGGCATCAGGCCTGATCTTGCCATTATTGCTGAACCAGCTCCAGGTTAGTACAGTAATCTTCTTGGCCCTCCATTCTGCCCTGGCCACTGTGTGTCCACCATTTTGGACAGGGGTTCATACAAGGCCGTACATTACTCACACAGAATTGGCTAAAGGATTGCAACTGGAAGGTTTTGTCTTACAAGGTGAGGATGATGTGCTGTAATGACTGTAAGCTACACAGTGTTTTCTTTTTTGTTGTGTACAGGGAAACCAGAAATTAATCTCTGGTTCCTGTGCCAGTCAATCTGATCAGAGATGAGTGGAAGAGAAAGAATAAGTACCAACACCAGCTGATGGAAAATTCACTGCCTTTTTGTAATACAATGGTAAGTGTGTCGTAGATACAGGGGCAGGGGAGAAGAGGGCCTCCAGAATGGGGTCAGAGTCCAATCACTCGTGAAATTAAATACGGACTGATAAGTAGGGCTGCCATATGTCTGGGTTCCCCCGAAATGTCCAGAAATTGGGCTTTGTGAATGGCGTCTTGGCAGATTTTTGCCAAGTTGGCAAAATGTCTGGGAATTCCCAGATGTATGGCAAGTGGGGTGATGTTTAACAAACAAAAAAGCCGAACAACTTTGTCCGCATTTTCAGTTTTTGAGGTTTGATTTTTGCTGCCCAACTCTCCATGGAACTCTGAGTCCCCTAAAGATCCTTAAGCAATAAGTAGCAATGCATTTCTTCTTCAACCAATAATTCCACTCTGTTTTCAAAGGCCATAGCAGCACAGGATGCTGCCTTATCCTGAGTCAGACCAACAGGCCTTCTAGTTCAGTGTTGATTACCAGTAGCTCTCCAGCATTTTACACGGGCCACTTTCCCAGTTCTACCTGCAGAAGCCGGGGATTCAAACAGGAATCATATGCATGCAGAACAGATGCTCTACAGCTGAGCAATGGCCCTCCTAGAGAGTCTAGAAATCAGTGGATGGATACTAGTCTAATTCAGAAAAAGTCTAGCCATTACATCTTTATAAAGTGAGAGATCACTTATTTTGTTTTTACTTAGGCTGCTGTCCTGTACATGTTTAGGAGTAAGTCCCGTTGAACAGAATTGAATTAACTTGTTTAGCATTGCACTGCTGTGCATTTAGCGTCACACAAGCAACAAGTATTTAAAAAAAAATAGCCATGTTGGGCCACTTGACAAAGCATTAGCAGCAGTAGCAGCTATATTTGGTTGCTAGTATCACAGCAAATTTCTGGAGCCCATTATTCCTCCACTGCCCATTCTAATACAGTGGTACCTTGGTTTACGAACTTAATCCGTTCTGGAAGTCTGTTCTTAAACCAAAGCCATTCTTAAACTGAGTCACACTTTCCCTAATGAGGCCTCCCACCACCGGTGCCCTTCCACCATTTGGCTTCAATTCGTAGACCAAGGTAAAGTTCACTAACCGGAACACTACTTCCGGTTTTGCAGAGTTTGTAAACCTAATAGTTCATAAACAGGACTGCTCTTAAACCGAGGTACCACTGTAGCTTAAACCGGATGACGCTCTGACTAGGCCAGGCTCTGTAGGGAAAGGGTACTGCTCAAAATGATTCTGTGTCACAGTCTGCACAGGCCTTTGTCGTGTCCTCACATTTTGCTTCGCCTTTCAGGTTCACTCAGTCACCTCCCTGCTCAGGTCAAAAAGCGCAGGTGATGCCAAAGCCTCAGCTTGCCTACAGGAATGTTTAATGTCGAGCAAGTTACAGAAGTCCGGAATGGTGGGCTGGAGGAAGAAATGTTGAAGGCAGCCGGCTCTGTTTTAATAACTCCCTGCAACCAAGGTGGGCCACCTTTTCGAGTAAGTCTTGGGAAAGAGGAAATGAGGTCACCTTGGAAAACATGGTGGCTGAGAGGATATGGCACACAGCCTGGTAAAAGAAGTCACCTCCATGGTATCAGAAGCCACATGAAAATCTTTGGGAGTGATGTTATCTCAAAGCAGTGAGAAGAGGCACCTGGAGGAAGGTTTCTCCATTCCCTGAATTCAGGGAGCTACACGCTGTGTACAAAAATGTTAATACCATTTTCCTCAATGGTATTTTTTTCAATAACTCTTTCGTTATTGGATCAGAACAGTAATAGCTAATTGATCACACAAAAGGTTTGACAAACTGAGTGAAGTGTAGGTTGCATTTTCAATTGCACCCCACAGTATGACCACATGCTTTTGACAAAATGAAGTTATTCCAAATTTAGGCCTAAAGCATGGTTCGGTCTTACATGCATGAGCACGGATGGATTCTCAAGATTGCACATTCCCAATGTGCCCCCTCTCCCTCTCTCCTTGTACAGTACATGACAATTCTCTTCCTCCTTTCTTGGTTTGGGCACAAAATGCTAAGGTAAACTATGGTTTGGTCTTACACCTAGGTTCTCCATATCTTTCTTGCTTGGCTCTGAAACTCAGCTTCCTTATATATAGGAATGATACTTGATAATTACCTACGGAGATTAGCATTGCTCATCATGTTAAAAGTATTGGTATGAGTCCTGTAAGTATTTAAACAGCAGTCACAGGTGTAAACCTGGCTTTGCAGTTTTCAAAACACACATACAGTTCAGCAAGTCAACTCCTGGATCATCCTATATTTCCCCCATATCTTCAGGTAGCCTGTCCAAACAAATTTTAAAGCAGCAATTGTGGGGCTGTTTGTTGCTCACAACAGTAGCTGGCAGGATGCTTTAAACAGTGGGAGTGCACCCTCTTCATCATCCTTATGCTTTGCTTACCACAAAGGAGGATTTTGTGCAGCACTACAGAAAGAGTGAATGAGATGAGAGTTTGGATTTCTTATTCTGGATTTGGAAATGCAACATGAAGAACAAGAGAAAAAACACCCATTCAGCTCCCATGCTGAGGTTTCCACCGGCAGGCATACTGCAAGACATCTGGGGTTGCTCCAGAACCTGAGATGCTTGGTGGGAGTGAAATGAACTGAGTAGCTTGGTATTGTACTCTTGTCTAAACTGTCGGCTTTCTAGGGGAGATTGACCTTGGTGCAACAGTACAAATTGTGAACAGCATCGAAGGCAACTTCAAGAAGTGACTGATAGAAGTTTACCTTTGAGTTTCCTTCCGTGAGCTTCCCCAACTTCTCCTTTAACTCTGGGCTTAGATTTTTTGTTTGTTTGTAATGACTACAAAGTTCTTTTAATCAGATTTCCTTGTCCCTCCTGGAGCATTTAATTAAGTCTTTACCACCCCCTGCTCCATACTCCTAATGATGTTTTTCGGTCCGGAAATAATGTCTCTCATCAAGGGGGAGCAAAGTCGCTACTCTGTTGGGGCCTTTTCCATTTTTGCAGCTGATTACAAGCCAAAAAAGGAGGACACAGAAGGCACACCTAATTAGAAATAGATTGGGTGAAGGAGCCAGAAAGGCAATTGCAGGCTTTGAGGAAAGGCTATGCAAATGAGGGAGTAGAAGGCTGAGCTGTGAAGGCCGGACAAAGAAGTTTTATTCACATGCTGCAACAGGGTCTTTTCAAGCTTGTAGACTGGTACCCTGTGGCATCTTCTCTTATGTGGCTTTTCCCCACCTCTCCATATGTTGTAGCTCTCTCACACTTTTATTTGCCTCATTGATATCACACACATACAAAATGCAGATTAATAACATGGAAAAAACATTATACAAATTAAGTAAAAGTGCACAAGTTTAATCTTGGCTATAGGTAAGAAATCTGCTTTATATTGATCACTTCTGGTGAGATAGCTCCAAGGCATTTTCTTAGAATAAGCTTCCTTATATAATCAGTTTGTTGATCAATTCTTTGCTGATCAATGTTTCGTTTGGATTTTTGAGCAGAGTTAGTTTTAAAATCAAACTGCAACCTGATGTGAACTAATCAATAGTGGTAATAAAAATATAGCTGTCAACTAAAATATAGATTGCCTATAACGGGCGTAAATCTACAACACTATCAATAGAACATGGAGAATTGTCAAAATGGCAAAGAAAACAGAATACCTGTATATAATGATAGGCAGCTTTGATAAATCTTGACTTCATGTACTGACGGCATGAAAATGAGTTCAGTTTGTTAACAAACCGTATATAAGGGTTTTCCGTTGTCTCCTTCATAAACTTGTATTTGTAATGTTGTATAATCAGTGTCTTTTTCTTCTTTTGTACTCCTGCATTTGAAAGAATGACTAAAAAGAGACATGAAAAAAGGAGCAAAACATCTGATATTGCTCCAGAATTTTACATCCATTAAAGAGTCATATGGACCAAAGGGGTGCTGTTTGAATCATAATTTATTTAATCCGTATCTGTCTTTGTGGATTAATTTATTAATCTGGTTGTGGGACTGGCTTGCTTGGTCAACAGAATAGCAGAATAGCAGGAAAAGCCAGTCATATATGCTGGGTCTCCTCCACATGCAGCACTCCTTTAGAAGATAAATATCCCAAGACTTGGAAAAAGGCAGTTCTCTGCTCAGAGATTTCCATGGAAGTTGATCCTCTGGGAATTCTGCCCTGCATTATTTTGTCCAGCTGTAGCCAGAGGCTGAGCTAATATTGGGTGGATTTGTAGATGAGAAGTATGTGATTAAGGGTTTCTGGCCCACCCTGAGCACTTACTGTCTGGGCTAAGATTTGTGGTCATCCCAGAAGGCCTTTCATGGGTGGGAATGGGAAACAGTTCCATAATGTTATAATTCCACCACTCCCGTCAGCCAAAACCACAGGCAGTTTCATGAGAAAAACGAAATTGATTCGGATGGGCCTGTAGGCCTCAGATGAGAAGCTCTCACCATTACTCCATGTTCTCCTCAGGGACCCTCTTTTGACACCCACTGGGCCTGTGTGGAATTCAGAAGACTTCAGTGAACTACTCCTAAACAAATAGGCCATAGCTACTAAGCATTCCACCACCACCTCAGAGGTCATTCTGGGATCAAATCAGAAACTGGGATGGCTTTTCTAAATCAGGGACGTCCCTGGAAAATAGGGACACTTGGAAGGTCTGCCAAAATGCACTATATCAAGGGGAATTGCTCTACAATAGTGTGTATGTATGTATATTTGACAAAATGGAATCCATTAGATGTGCATGTTGGAAGAACTTTGCACTAAAAGGCTGCTGAATTTTCAAGAGGACTTGTTTAATTTTTAAAAATGAAAACTGATGTGGAGAACTTTAAACTTAAGATTGGAAAAACGAGAAACTGAAATGGAGATATTTACTTCTCTCAATCTGCACTGCTTTCCTGGTGCTGGAGCACTCCGGGTGAGTAATGAGTATTAGATTGCCCTTCATCACTAATTAGAATTATTCCATAATATATTTAGATCAGGACATGTACACAGTCTCCAAGACCAACATCTCTAGTCATCAATGCAGGAAATACCTTCACAGTTCAACTTCATTCTCGAACCCTAGCATGTTAATAAATCATCATCATCTACATATATTGCCCTTCACCTGAGGATCACAGGGACCACCACTACACATAACGTTGTGAATCAAAAGACTATTCCAAATACATTGTCAGTGGAACTGTGTGCCTATTTACTCACAAATAAGTCCTAATGATTTACTCCCTTGTAAGTGTATATAGGATTGCAGCCTGTGGTTTCCTTAGAGACAGTGCTGCTTACTTTAATTAGCATATGCTTCTCCACAGCTTTCAGACTAAAATGTAAATATTCAACCATTATTTAACAACTTGGAAAGTAAATAGGTAGGGAATCAGCATCCTGGGCTGTACGTTGCAAAAGCCGAAGCCAGCACAAAAATAACCACTAGTGGGGCTTTCCTCCCCTCTCCTCCCCCTACATCGCCTCACGCTCTCCCCAATTCTGCTCTGGAGGGTTGGGAGAACCCACAGAATAGTGCGGGGGGGGGGGGGAGAAGAGGAGATTGTTCCATTGGGAAAGCAGAAATGCTCGCACCAACAGAACAATCTCATTAGTCCTGTGTTGAATACAGCCCATTCAGAATGGCTGACTTTTTAAAAATCCCCACTGAGAAGAACAGCCTTTCTTTTTCAAAAGGATAATTTTTGAAGGTGGGGTTTTGCCTTGACCAATTGGGCTAGTCATGGCACCTGCAGATTTGGCAGGCTGTTTAAATTATCTTGACTAGCCAGCCTTTCTAATGAATATTATGTATTATTTTAATGGTACTCTAGGTTTTATTGTAGTTGCCTGTTGTCATACACCACCTTGATAGTTTATATGAGGATGGGGACTGTCAACCAACCAACCAACCAACCAACCAATTGTGCTGGTTGCTTCATCCTGCACTGAATGTTTTGTTGTGCTCATTTAGCCGTCCCAGCTGGCTGTATTCAAAAGACAGAGGCTAACTCTCTATCGTTTGCACTTGACTCTCAATAAAAGTTGCAACAAAGCTTCAAAAGCTTATCTTTGTTTTTTGCAACTCCATGACACCCTGGGCCAACGAAAGGCAGCCACTGATTGGAGGCCTTGTGTGTTGTTGGCTCTGATGTATGAACAATTTCCTGGAGAGAAAATAAATGCAAAAGGAGAGAGAAAAAGGGAATGCTTACAGGCCTAGAATTTAGTGTAAAGTTCTGATATTTAAACCCATGTGGCCCCATGAATCCAAACGTGGGGGTTGGGGTGGGATTTTGAGAGATAATTAATAGTGTGCACAAGATTTCCATTTGGGAAAGAGGCAGAGCTGCAAAAGAGATTAAATTCACCCCTGGTGGAAAGCCCGCTGAAATGACACCAGGACCGTGATTGGCCCCAAACATTTTAACTATCCCATTTAATGCTATTCATGCTCTAGTGGAGATGAAAATGTTTATACTAAATGAGAAACTCTAAATGCTTTGCAAATATAATAGAGTGTGAGGTTTATATGTGTTCTCATTTATGGGGATGGCTGGAGAGACACAGCCCTGGGCCTCGGCAGCCGCTAACTATTTTCCTCAGTTCCCGTAAAAAGTAAAGTGGCTTTGGAATACAAGTGGTCAGTACTTATACGGAGCCCAAAGCCTCTGAGGGAAAGGCTGCTGCTGAAGTCTGGCAAGACTAGAAAAACTGGAAAGGAAATGACTGACTTCTGAGGAGGGTGGAGGGGACAGCACAGAAACCTGGCAGGGGCTTATCAGGGGATATCTTAGGCCAGGAGCAAAACAAGACAGAATGCGGATGAAGGGTAAGGGCCAGAGAGAGAACTGGGACCCAGAGCCAAAGGGCAGGAATGAAGTGGCAGGACAGCTGAGAGGATCATATTCCACTAGGTAATACAGAGATCTTCCTAGTAGAAGAGGAACTAGATAATGGGGCAAGAAGATTCTGGAAGAATTCAAGGAATGGATCCAGGTTGGGGGCCAGTGTCAGCTCTAGGCTTTGGAGGGTCCATGGACAAGACACATACCCTCCAATATTTCTCTGATGAAAATAAAGGTAAAGGTAAAGGGACCCCTGACCATTAGGTCCAGTCGTGACCGACTCTGGGGTTGCGGCACTTATCTCGCTTTATTGGCCGAGGGAGCCGGCGTACAGCTTCCGGGTCATGTGGCCAGCATGACTAAGCCGCTTCTGGCGAACCAGAGCAGCACACGGAAACGCCGTTTACCTTCCTGTTGGAGCGGTACCTATTTATCTACTTGCACTTTGACGTGCTTTTGAACTGCTAGGCTGTCAGGAGCAGGGACCGAGCAATGGGAGCTCACCCCGTTGCGGGGATTCGAACCGCTGACCTTCTGATCAGCAAGTCCTAGGCTCAGTGGTTTAGACCACAGCGCCACCCGCGTCCCTTCTGATGAAAATACGGGTGTCCTATTCAATAATAATAATAATAATAATAATAATAATAATAATAATAATACCCCACCCATCCAACTGGTTTGCCACTCTGGGAAACTTCCAGCATATATAAAAACATAATAAGATATTAAACATTTTAAAAAACCTTCCCTATATAGGGCTGCCTTCAGATGTCTTAGGAGTCAGATAACTCCATACCCTCCAACAATTCTCTGATGAAAATAGGGACATCCTAAGGCAAAGCGGGACATTCTGGGATCAAATCAGAAACCAGGATGGCTTCTGTAAATCTGGGACATCCCTGGAAAATAGGGACACTTGGAGGGTCTGAGACACTCCTTGCCACTTGTGTCAGTGTGTTGACCTCTGAACTGCCATTATCGCTGGCTCCTTCTCCTCCTTGCTACTGCCTGCTTGGTTGCTAAAAAGAGAGCCAGCGAGGTAGCAGGGAGCTCTTCCTCACGGCCACTTTGGTCTGGGCGAGGGTGAGAGGCAGGTAAACGAGCTGAAGGAAGCAGAACCTGGTCCAGAGGACTAAGTTCCTGTTGAGGTAGTGGACCTTCAGAAGATACTTGACTTTGACCCAAAACAAGGACCTTCCTAGGCTGCAAAAGCACTTGCTTTTCTAAAGGTGCTGAGCAGCTCTACAGCAGGTGCCCCTGAGCATAAGAACACAGTTTATGCTCTTTTGCAAATCCTGCTCATTTCAATGAGGTAGGTTTGCATGGGAGAACCTCCTTTGGTGCCGTTGTTGTTATTAAAGTATCTCTGAAATTTACATTTCAAAAGTAAGTACCAAAATACTTCTGCAGCTCAAAACTTAAGACTTAGAATTTTGAAAATTGCATGTAATTTCATCTCAGCTCTGTGTGGTGCCTCCTCATTTTCAGTGAAATAAAAGAGGAAGGGTGAGTATATCCACACACCACTATCTCTCTTCAAGCCATGCCTGATTTGTCTTCATTAATTTTGAGACACCAACAGGAACAGCCCACGGTCTTTAATATTAATAAAAAAATGTGGGATCACTGCCCTGGAGTGCAAGCGCTGTGTGTGACTTGGCTCACAAGTCGTCTAGGCTAAGACACAGCATGGGTGTCCTGTCTGGCTAGTGCTCCTAGCTGTCATCCAGAGGTTATTTCATTCACTAAACAATCTGTCTCCAAGGCCTTCCAACTCACCACCCAAATGCAGTTCCAGGAACATCTTCGAGCTTGGTTGTTATGAAAGGTTATCACACCCATCACAACAAATCTCTCCAAGTTATGTGACGGTTGCCAGTTCTAGTACAGGGAAGGAGCTTATCGCTTCCTACAAATGAAATTGGTGATTGCAGCAATAAGAACTCGCTTGAAACCCTTCTCCCTGCCACACTCTATTCATTTTAAGTTAAAGCTTAATAATTATTTCACTATTAATATACTTCTTAATTGTATTTCACTGTTAATATACTTCTTCTTAATTGTATTTCAGTTCAACAATTACT